GACAAATGTAATTTTTTCCATTTATGCATAGTTGGTTAACCCTCTAATGGTTAATAAATGTAATGTTATCTAAATGTAATCTATCTAAACATATTACCTAAATGTAATAAAGAGAAAACCTGTAAGATTATCTCAGTAGCAAAAGTAAAAACATTTAAGATTTAGCACCATTGATGATTTTTTAAAAAAAAAATCTGCAATGAGAAACAGAGGAAAATGTATTTTACTAGATAAAGGGTATCTATAAGTAAGTTTATATTTAATGATAAAATCCAGAATGTTTTCTCCTGAAATTGGGAAAAAAGCAAAGAATTTCCAGTCTGACCACTGCAAGTTTAGCCAGACAAAAAAGAAATAAATGAGACATGTTAGAATCAGAGTAACAACAGTGCACTGATTTGCATATGGCATAGTATATGTAGAAAATCCTACAGAAGCAACTATAACGTTTCCTAAAGCTAGTGAGTTTAACAGATTCCCAAGATATAAAACTAACATGCAAAAATCAATTTTATTTTATACACTAGAAATAAACAATCTGAAAATCAAATCAAATTACACCATATACCATAAAAAGAAAAACACTTAGGAATAAATTTAACAAAAAGATGTGCAATGCCTGTGAGCTGAAAACTCTAAAGCATTTCTTTAAAAAGTTAAAGAAGGCTCATCTAAATGGAGATATATGCTTTTTTATTAATTTGAAAATTCACCATTTTTAAGAGGTCAATCCTTCCAAAACTGACTATAAATTCAATATATTCGGAATCAAAATTTTAGCAGTCTCTGTATAGCATTTGATAAGCCAATGTTAATATTTGTACAGAAAGGCAAATCGTCTAGAATAGGTTAAAATTTTTTAAATAAAAAACAAAATTAGATGGATCAAATTAGCTGGTATTTAAGATGTACAATAGAAGCACACTAAGGAATATGAGATTGGTGTAAGATTGACATAGAGAACAATTAAAAGGAATTTTGAGTCCAGAAATATATCCACAATTATTATGTTGGAGTTGGGTTTTCAATAAAGATACCAAGAAAATTCAATGAAATGAAGATTGTGTTTTCAATAAATGGATTTATAATAAATGAATATCTATATAGAAAAAAAATTTGACCCTTTTCTCATGCCATACACAAAAAAGCATATAAACCTGATTATCAACTTAAATATAAGAGTTAAAATTATAAAGCTTTTAGAAGAAAACCTGGGAGAAATCTTTATGAACTTCCTCAATACCAACCACAAAATATTATACTACAAATATTATATTACAAAGTTCTTTAAGAAAAATTGTGGGTATGCAATACTCTGGTGTCTCTTCATAAGCTAATAATGTTTCATTTACATTTTACACTAACTATGAACACAGATTCTACTGAAATTTAAATTAGAGTCCTGTACTGTGTTAATCTTTCTTAATGTCTCACTTAAACTTTCATGCCAATAAACCAACACTTCTGCACATTGTCAACATCAAGATTTGTGTGGCTGTTACAGTCCAGGAGACTGAGAATGCTAAATAGAAAATTAGTTTTCCTTTTCTCTAAGTCATATCTTTTATTTGTAGTATTTTTGAAGAGGGTTGTTGGAGCATTTTAAAAATTCTAATCTGCAGTTTTAAAAGATGACAAGATATATGAATTATGATGATAAGAATGGAAAGACATTTACCAAAAATAGCTGCTTCTCTGTTCATCTTGACAAACAGATGCAACACTTTGACAGCTAATCAAACAGGTTTTCTTTTTTCATACTGTATCTATTCTGTTATGGAATGGCCTACTAATTTTAATTGCTTTGCTAGGCTCCCATTTAATGGTTCAATGAATATAATACGTTTGTGCTTTTCTTTGCATAATGAAGTGGCCAGGTAAGTGAGATAACTTTTTGAATACAGACAAAATATAAATGTAGCCAAAATAATATATATATATATATATATATATATATATATATATATATATATATATATAAATATAGCCAAAATATAGCCAAAACATTTGAATATTTCAAATTCCCATTACCACTACTAATAAATCTTATCTAAATTCTGTTCATAAACTTACAAACTGGCACTAAAAGTGAGCTTCACTCCACTACAAAAATTTCCTTCAAATCATACACATTTTTGAAAGTTTATAGTTAGCAAAATGCTGTTTATGATGATATAATAAATGTATTTCTCTTTGTTACGTGTGTATTTGGTTTTAAATTATTGTGAAGCCAAGTGATTGCTAATAAACTTAACTCCTACTCAGAGCAAAATGACCAGCAATAACAATTTCAAAAGCCTGGAGCTTTCCTACACTGTTTTTATAGTCTCATTCTATTAAAATGTTGAAATATTTAGCAGCTCTCATATTTTATCAATCTTTTTCTTCTACTAACTACTTTTTAGAGCATTAATTAGAACTTTCTTACATTGTCTACTAAATATTTTATTGTTGCTGTTGTTGTCATCGACAGAGGGTCAGAGATTAATGCACCAAAAAGAAAATATTGTAGTTGAGATAGAATGAGCCAAGTATCAATATTATTTCACGAAACATGACAAGATGTGTGTAGCATTTTTGACTCTATGTATATTTCCTAAACGAATCTTATCTTTTTTATACACAGACACACACACATTCATCTTCATACTGCATTAAACAATGAGAGATTTTAAAAACTTATATAACATTTCTTATTCTCCATTGTGATCTGCAAATTATATTTCAAAAACTGCCATTTGCTTACTTATATCATTTCCTTTATTTTCACTAAAATGTATTTTAAAATAATATTACATATGCATTTCATTTCTTATCCAGATAATCTCATATCTTTCCTATTTTGTTCCATTTCTGTTTCTTTTCTCTTCTTCCTTCATTGTGCCCATATTACATGTCCCTTTGAAATGCTGCCCTTTTCTCTAGTTCTCATATTTCATCTATTTTTCTAACTCCCAGCATAATATTAAGTGCTCATCCTTCTTATTTAATGTTGTCTCATGACTTCAACCTTATTTCACAGCTGGAACTGGATATTTGTATTTCTCACTAAATTAGTTCCATTTCATTTAAATATCTTCTATAGGACTGTTTTAAATAAAACAGCCCTTTGACCACTAAGGCTACAAGGGAGACTTGGCCTTACAAAACAATTAAGGAAAATTCCCAGGATGTCAAAATATAAAGGTACATATAGTTTTGGGTTTTATATTTAAGTATTTAATCCATCTTGAGTTAATTTTTGTATATGGTAAAAGGAAGAGGTCTAGTTTCAATTCCCGGAAGACTATCTGTAAATATCATTCTGGACATAGGAACGGGTAAGATTTCACAAGGAAGACACAAAAAGCAATTGCAACACAAGTGGAAGTTGACAAATGGGATCTAATTAAACTAAAGAGCCTCTGCACAGCAAAGGGAACTGTCAACAGAGTAAACAGAACCTAAAGAATGGGAGAAAATGTTTGCAAACTATGCATCTGACAAAGTTCTAATATCCAGCATCTATAAGAAACTTAACAAATGTACAAGAAGAAAAACCAACAGCCCCACTGAAAAGTGGGTAAAGGGACATGAACAGACACTTTCAAAAGAAAATATACATGCACCCAACAATCATATGAATAAAAAAGCTCAATATCACTGATCATTAGAGAAATGCAAATCCAAACCACAATGAGATACCATCTCACACCAGTCAGAATGGCTATTAATAAAAAGTCAGAAAACAAAAGATGCTGATGAGGTTGTGAAGGAAAATGAATGCTTTTATATTGTTTGTGAACGTAAATTACTTCAGCCATTGTGGAACATACCGTGGCGGTTTCTCAAAGACCTAGACGTAGAAATACCATTCAATCCAGCAATCCCATTACTGTGTATATACCTAAAAGAATATAAATCATCCTATTATAAAGACATATGCATGTTTATATTCACTGCAGCACTATTCACAATAGCCAGACATGGAATCAACCTAAATGTCCATCAGTGATAGACCAGATAAAGAAAATGTGGTACATATACCCCACAGAATACTAAAACAGAATGAGAGCAGCCATAAAAAAGAATGAGATCATGTCCTTTGCAGGAACATGGATGGAGCTAGAGGACATTATCCTTAGCAAACTAATGCAGGAACAAAAAGCTAAAGAACACATATTCTCACCTATAAGTGGAAGCTAAATGATGAGAGGACATGGACACATAGAGGGGAACAATACATACTGAGACCAATTGAAGGGTGAAGAGTGGGAGAAAGCAAAGGATCAGGAAGAATAACTAATGGATGCTAGACTTCAAACCTGGGTAACAAAGTGATTGTACAAAAACCCTCATGACACAAGTTTACCTATAACAAAGGACCTATATAACAGGGGTAACTGCACATGTACTCCTGACTTAAAAGTTAAATTAAAAAAGAAAAAGGTACATATATCTACACAGGTGACTTGTTCCCAAGACTGTCCTAGGAGAAGCTATAAAGGCAAAGTACATTCTCCATTCAGTTCAGCTTGAACTGAATGTCCATTATCCTCAAACTCAAACGAACAGCAAAAACCATTGAACAACAAAAACTAGATTAAACAACATGAATTATCTAAGCTAAGGCACTACTGCTACTGGGCACTAATGACAGCCAGGAAGCCTGGACATTCTGTTGCTTTCCCTACCAAACTGTGTCAAGAAGCCACATAATAAACAGTTACTCTGCATTTTCTGGAGAGCAGAGACATTGAATCATGTACCCTTCATACATACCTGTATGTACTCCTATACCCAGATAAACAACGTAGATCCACAAACTTACTCAGTTTTCCCTTTCTGCAAATATCTTTATTGTTAGATGTCAGAAAGATAATTGGGATAATTAGCCAGCAATATTAACCTTTTCTGTACTCTACAGAGCAGGGAGCCCAGAGAATTCCCTCAGCTTGGTGTGACAGAGGCTGACCTGGGATGGCCAGACACAGATACCTTTCTCTCTTCTCATTTCCTACCTTGCCTTAATATAAAAGTCATGTCTTCCGGCACCTCCTTTGCTCTTCCAATCCTCCCTGTTGCAAAACAGTTAAAAGACAAGATTTTAAATTTCTCACCACATATAAATGATAGATATTCAAGGTGATGAATATGCTAATTCGCCTGATTTGATCATTCCACCGTGAATATACATATCGAAATACCAAATTTTACATTATAGATACACAAAAATATGATTTCTTTAATAAAAGCAAACTTAGATAAAGTACATGTTACAACATCGCAGCTCTTATTTTCCTATAGATGAAGTCATGTCCAAGCTGGCCTTCCAGTTTCCATGCAGCAGCTCTACCTTCCTTCTCCAGGACCTCCTTACAGGCAGGCTGGCTGCCCTTCAATTTCTCTACCTGCAGAAAAGCAGGTGAGGTCCATCTGGGCTGCTACCTGGAGGGCTTGCTCTGGTCTTCTTTTCATTTTTACCACAGAAGCCTATGTTCAGGTCTGTGAGGCACTGGTCTGGCCCATTAATAAAGCGGGTGACCCAACTGCTTATTTGACCACAGAGTTTTTGGTTAACTAGAGATTTTATTATAACTGGAAACACTAAAACCCTGGAGGCCAATAGTGCACCTTACACTCAAGAGCACGCATGGCCCAATGGAAAGCCCGGAGGCCTGACAGCAATTAGAGCTGGCTGAAATCCCAATGTGGAGACATGATAATTAGAAACGTGTGGAATCTCAGTCTGATCTCTTAATTTTAACATTAGGATAATGCAACTTTGATGGGTGTTTTAAAAAATCATTTAAACATGGTTGTTTATGATCATGATTGTCAGGTGTCTAAAGTAGCACTTGGTGTGCAATATCATGGCCAGGGTTTAATAAAATAGCCACTTACATGTGAACTTTAATCTATATATGCTTGACAATCCTTTCCATCGTTGTTTGTTACCATGTTTACATTTGCTAGGGCCTGAATAGGCAACGAACAATAATTTCAAACAATTTTTTTCTTAGTTTTGTTTCTTCAAATCATGAAAGAAATCCATGCTTCAAATATAACCTTCAACTATTAACTTGGAGGTAGCTAAACTTTAAATGAACAAAGACAAGGCAATATAAAACAGGTTTTGTATGTTAGAAATAATCAGATATAAATATAATCTAAAAAAGAACAGTTTGGGGGGCCCAAAATACATTTCTAAAAACTAAGGCCTTTCATCTAACGGGTGGAATTTTCACACTAACATTTGGAATGTAAATGTTGATTCACATGAAGCAACGGTTTAATTTTTTTTGGCACCAAATTAGTAAATGGTGGTCTAGAACTATTTAAAATAAAACATTCTGGAAAATTATTTTACTGTGTCAAAAAGCCAGTCATACTCCACAATGTCATTACATAGTAATGCATATTAATGAAATTTACCCATGGCTAAAACAATCATGGCCTTGGGAAGATTTTTGAAAACGAATTTTTAAAAATTTGTATAAGAGGGAAGTATTTTTGTTGCAAGATATTTACTAAGATAACAGGAAGCCATATGCGGAGTTATTTGCTTTTCCTTTTTCAAGATAAGACAGAAAAGTGCATTGAAAAGTATGTTTAAAATTACATTTACTATCAATTTCACTGTAGACTCATGGAATATTAGAGGTGGAAATCATTGTAGATTTAATCTAGTCTACTGCCTTCATTTTAAAGATAAGAAAAGTGGCTGAGTGACTTTCTCAAAGCACTAGAGCATCACCAAGATATGTACCAACCTTGGGGAATGTTATCGCAATGGAAAGGTTACTGCCTCTTTCTCCTCCAAATTGGGAGTAGGATCCTACTTAACAGAAACGAAGATGATGATGAACACACATAATCTATTCCTTCATAATTCTTATGTGTCTTCCATAATATAATGTCTCCTTTCTGAATGAAAGCATCAATGCTTTCAGGAACTGCTGAACTTGCTTCACATGGCTGTTCGATGTGGAGGGAGTGTTTACATGCAGAAAGTGGCTGACAGTGACTTAATCAGAGGTCAAAAAAGGCAGCCTGCATGTTGAATCTACCATAGATTATTTTTTTGCTATATTTTTATTTTATCAGCTCTGTATTTGAGATAATAACTCCATCAGAAAGCTCTAATATTACAGTTTTATTGAAAAACCACATGGGCCCTTTTACCACGTGGCCATGCTCCCATCTGGCAAGATTCATTTCATTTAACTAAGCAGTGGTTGATAATGCCTTGATTTTAATGGGACAAAAACTCCCTAATTTACTACAGAATATATCATTTTCTGTTGTATGACACTCATTCAATTGTGTCACCTGCCTGGCCTCACCTGGGTAATACTTGTGATTATCTGAAAAGATGATCCTGTATAAATTAATAAAACACTTTACTATAGTCAATATGACCTTTCACGTATACCCCAATTCTTTAAGAGCTATAATCTACTATAAAGTGAAGGGACCCATTTATTGCACCCCCCCTCCCTCTCCCACCCCCCCGCCATCATATATCAATTTGGAAATATCAAGTGTACTATTTCACTGGGGGTCAGTTACATGAGTTGTATAAGCCATATTTTACAGATGAGAAAACTGAGGCTTAGAAAGGTAAGATAACTTTCTCATGGCCACAGATTATATGGCAAAGCTGGTGCTCAAAGTCTGGTCTTCTAAGATCAACAGGCATTCAACTATATTCTGCCGTCTTACCATGCCACCAATTCTATTAATAATGTGTATTTTAATAACGCTTTTAACTTTACCCCTAATAACCCTACAATAACCATATAGGTCTTAAAGCAAGAATTGCCATATTAAAATTCCTTTATGTGGTCCTTATTTTTATTGCTCATTTTTGTAATTTATTTTAAAAATTAGAAATAAATCAAATAATTAACTTGCAATCATATATTGAGGTCATAGAACAATAAGAAACTAGCATTCCTATGGGAGAGTCATGTTCTTGGTACTTATAGTGTTTTTTGCCTAACAGCAGTCTTTCCAGATATTCCAAAGATAATCACAGTTACTATTTATTAAATGACTGTTCTTTATTAGGAGCTTTTTTATTTTTAAACATTTTTAGTTTTGAAAACAATCATAAGAGGTGAGTATTATAGTAACTACTTTACAGGGGAGCCAACTGATAATTGAAGAGAATAATGAGCCAGGTATCTGATTTCATACAACTTGCAATGTGATTTTCTCACATGCTTTCAAAAAGCACAGTCATAATTCTGGGGATTGTCCAAGTGACTCTCTTTGGCCCATATGTAGCAGCAAATTAGATGTAAGTAAGCAAAGAATAGGCAAATGTTCCTGCAAGCAAGAGAGGATTCAGTACAAAAGCACTTTTTTACCCAGCACATTGGGAACCATCAGGTGGAGGAGCCCATGCTGCTGCTGGGAGAGACAATGTAGAAGAATATTGAGGCTCCTTGACTGACAGCCTGCTGACCATTCGCTCCAGGAGGAAAACCATCCTAGATTGTTGAATGGATGAACAAACTATGGTGCATGCACAGATGCATTTCACACATACCAATGCCCACAGTACCCTATGAATCTCAATTATACCCTATGAATCTCAATTTTTTTCTGATAAGTAAAAGAGCCAGACCAAAACACTGCATACTGTAGTTGCCATTTATACACCATTCTGGAAAAGGCAAAAGTAAAGGAACAAAGAACACATGAGTAATTCTAAGGAGTTAGAGATATAAAAGGTTTTACTACAGATAGACAATACAAGGGAAGGTCAGGGTGTCCATCATAGAACTATTCTGTATATTTATTGTGGTCATGCTATATGACGTTATGCATTTGCCAAAATTTATAGAACTGTAACCAAAAAAGAGTAAACTTTCTTATATGTAATTGAAAACAAAAGTTAAAAATACTTCTTTTTCCCCCTCTTCCCCATATTAGCTATGAAACTGTGTGGAGTTAGTGAATTTAAAGGTGAAATGATCTGGACTATTTAGAGTCTGGATCTGCATTTTACTATTTAGTTATGTAAGTAATCATCATTTCTCTGAATTTCAGTTTATAATATGTAAAATGGAGAAAACAATACCCAACTTAGATGTCCACATCTTCATCTGTGATGGAGTTGAGTTGTACCCTCCAGGGTTATGATGAGAGTTAAATGAGATGTTTGCAGAGGGCTTGGCATAAGTAAGTACTCAGTAAAGAGAGATGATATTGATACAGAGGATTATGATAATGACAATGATGATCTCCATTAGGGAAGCACTCTTTAGAGAGTACTTGTTCCTCTGGGAAACTGGGGGGACTCGCACTCCTGATTATACATTTACATTGTGTCATCTGTTTCTCTGAAAGATCCTCATGTCCTTTGGGTGATGAGACTTTCAACAAATGGAGGGTCACAGAATAAATAAATTCAGCAGATATCTACTAGGCACCATACAAAACACTATCAAACAGGAGTTTTCTATGCAGTCATTACAATAATAATATCTAAGAGTTTTTTTACAACAAACTACAATAGTATCTTAGAGAGCTTTGAGTTATACTAGATTTAGGAGGTCCCACTGTAATCCTACTCATTACCTCTGAGGCCATCCTTTGGGAACTGCAGTCCCTAAAGTCTAAAACTTTATGAAATTCTAGAGGCTTTGCATATATGATTACAATTTTTAAGTGAACACTGTTTATATTATGTCAGCTTCCTTGCCTATAACAAATTCATAGAATTAAGAGAAGTGTGTGAAGATACAATTTTTGGATTATGCTCAAGATACAGCTGACCCGTGAAGAATATGAACTTGATCAGCCTGGGTCCTCCTATATGCAGATTTTTTAAATAACTTTATTTAAAATAATTTTTGAAATTTGCAACAATTTGAAAAAGCTCCTGAAAGAGGCACTACACATAGAAAGGAATAACCAGTACCAGCCATTCCAAAAACATACCAAATACTAAAAAGTATCAACAAAATGAAGAATCTGCATCAACTAACGGGCAAAACAGCCAGCTAGCATCAAAATAGCAGTATCAAATTCGCACATAACAATATTAACCCTAAATGTAAATGGG